CACACACGCGCGCACACACGCGCGCGCACACGCACGCACGCACACACATACCCGCGCGTGCGTCGTCGAAGCGGCCCTTTTCTACGGCCACCCCCGCCATCCAAGCCGCAAGACCCCACAATACCCCACGGGGGGATTCATGCTTGCTTTGCTCAAGGAAGATGGCATTCGGCAGTCTTCAAAACGCTTTCTGATTCTCGGTTTTCGCATTGCAGCCCAAGGCACTGGCAAATGCATACGCAGCAAATGGCCCACGCGGTTCCGCTGAAGAAGCCAAACAGGCTTCCTTAGAGATTGCAGGGCCATCACAAAGGAATACCGGAATTCCGTCCCAAATGAGGGTGCCCGGGATGATCCTGGTTACGGGTCGTGTAGTTTCAGGAGTAGTGGCGGCCTAGAACAGCAGCACAGCTCGCATGCCATCAAAACGATACATGCAACCACTCGTCCTCAGAGTACCGCCTCAGGAAGCAAGGGTGTGCGATGGAATTGAAGTGATTGTAGGATCTTACGACGTATGACTTCTTGAATCGCACAAGTCTGTCATAAGTTTTCGCAAGGCTTTTTGTAGGAGCATAAATGGCCTACATAAGACGACTACTTGGGTGGGTACTGTAGGGGCCTTAATAATCAGAATACGTAAGGTTTTGGGGTATATATACTATCCTATATACAATCATACTAAGGAACCCCCCCCAAAAAAAAATAGCATAGGTAATAATTAGGCCCCTGTAGCAGATTCTCTTAACATCACAACAAGACGCTTTTGGAGATCTAGCCTGCTGCACTCGGTGTTTGGGTTGCAGGCAAGTGGGAGTTTCCGAAAAGTAGGGTACCATATTTTGGGGTCCTTATAATAAGGATCCTACTATTTAGGGTACTATAGGCACAATACTTTGGGGTCCTTATAATAAGGATCCTACTATTTAGGGTACTATAGGTACCATATTTTGGGGTCCTTATAATAAGGATCCTACTATTTAGGGTACTGTATCACCTGTAGAATCCCCTATTTTCTGAAACTCCCAAGTGCTGTCTTCCGCATTACGCTTCAGGCCAGGCGTCCGTACACGCCCCTCTGCTGGGCCCAATAGCGGACCAGTGCAAGTAACTCGCAAAAGCGAGCCCGATCAGGGACCTGCTCCAAAATCCGGTTGTTGACCTTGCCAAGCATGTCGTGGGAAGGATGTTGTGACTTCGAAACTCTAGCAAGGCCCCTGAAACTGGTAGTGGTGGTAGTAGCGGTGGAGAAGTAGTAGCAGTAGAAGCAGTACGAGACACCAAGCTGCTGCCGTCTTAGACAGGGCTGTCCTGATAAGTGGACATTCGTGTTACATGGGCTTTTCGTGTTAGGCAGGGCCTTGATCTTGGATAGGGTCTAACACTTAGACTTAGATAGGGCTTACTTTGACATAAATAGATGGTCTGTCGGATGGGGCTTTCCAGTTAGATAGGGCTTTTGGGAGAGCTTTGCACAGGGCCTTCCTGTTCTGAGATACTGTTTTAGCAGTTCTTGCAGTTTGGCTTGGCATGGTGTCAATTGCTCAGGGGCTTACATACAAATAGTACTACTGGCAGTAGTCGTGGCTAACAGCAGCAACGGCAACAGTCGCAGTCGCAATAGTGATAGTAGTAGGCAGTAGTAATCGTCGTTGTCCTCGTCGTCGTCGTCGTCGTGGTGGTGGGTGCGGTTGTGGTGGTGGTGGTGCTGCTGCTGCTGCTGGTGGGACGTCAACGCAAAGCGCTGAAATCTGAAATTACCGTAGGGATTGAAGCTGGAATGTTACCCCGGTTCTTGTCTAGGCTTCGGATACCCTTTCGTCTTGCCGGTGTTACACTTGAGGGGTCATCAACAGGCTTCAATTTTAATTGGTGACTACACGATTCCTCCAACTTGTATTCCTGCTGAAGATATGATGACCGGCTTCCTTCGTGGGTTGTTCAATGATGAATGGAAACGGAGGGTACTACCCACACTGCAACTTTAGAGTCGACCATGTGCAAAAAAAGCAGAGTGTGTCATAAAAAAAAAGGACATCCATCAGCACACCATGCGGCTTCGTGCAAAGTTCCCTCAGCAGTTTAGGGTTTCGGCACTCACTCTCGGTCCAGCCAGGCGACGTCTAGTGCTGGATCTTGTGCATGTGCATATATATATATATATAAATATGTATGTATACAGGCACATGCACATACAAACACACATACACACACACATACACACATGCATACACACATACATACATACATACATACATACATACATACATACATACATACATACATACACACATGCATACCTGCATACCTGCATGCCTACCTACCTACCTACCTACCTACCTACCTACCTACCTACCTACGTACATACATACATACATTAGGCCTGGGACTCAAGGATTTTGAAAGGAGCGGCAGACTCTCCCCAGCGTGCTGCATGGCTCGGCACGGGAACCGGCGCCGGGGCCAGGTGGGACGACGCCGCGAAGAGCAACTTCACGGCAGTTCCTCGGGCGTCTGGGGCGATGTGCCGCATCAGGATCATCGATGTGAATATTATTGTTGCTATTGCTTTAACAGACTGTTGCTGTTATTCCTGATGGGTCACCTGACAACAACGAACCTTAAGCAGGCTCGTCTTGGAGGGCAATGCGTGGCTTGGCAATTTTTCACGTGTTGGTCAGGACCCCACCTTTCATTATGGCGTCTTTGTCCGCGGGTTCCGGTTAAGGCCGATCCCCGTTTCAAAAGCATTGCGGGGGCGATCTTATGCTGGCTAAAGGCGCCGGTGCCGGTCGGAAGGCATCCCAAGCATAAACGCTTGATATTGGAAGCCTCTTCCTGCTGTCCAGAAACACCCCCTGGAACTCCCATATCTGGCACAGCATCACCAAATCCCCCCCCAAGCCCCTCCCCAGCCCCCCGTCCCGCCAGACCTCGCCCCTGGACAGCCAGCTGTGAAGAGGATTTCGAGGTTTCAAGCGTGGTTCCTTTAGGTTTAGGATTCAGGGTTGGGCGGTTGGGACTTATTTCGGCCTCTTGGGGCGTATCAAGGGGGTCCAGACCAGCACCCCCCAACTACCCTCTATTATACCCTAAATACCCACTATTAAGGACCATAAGGGCTCTATTAAAGGGCCATTGGGGGGTCCTGGGAGTCTATAGGGCTAGTAACCATTAGCTCCAAACGGATGCAGGCCGCAGGCTGCTCGACCCTTCACCTGCCTGAAATTGGTCGAAGAAAAAGCCGTTCAGGGTTTCGAGTACAGTGCCGTAACCTTACAGGTACCTACTAAAAAGGGAACTAGAGCCCCTAGGGCCCTATATAGCCGGTACCTGGGGGGTTAGGGATGGAGAAACTGAAGCAGAACTCCTGAAAAAAACATAGAGCCTAGACTCCCCTCTGCTTGAACTTGACCCCGGGGCCGTTGAGGAGGCCGTCCGCAGAAGCCGTCCTTCCGTGACAAGTGGGTTTGGGGGATTCTTCTAAGTGATTGAAAATTGCGTGTTGAAATGCCTTCGTGGTATTCTGGTACTGCTTAAAACGCACGTTAGTTTGCTCTTCTGGTCATCCACACAGCTCCAGAGTAAAATTTGATGAGTTTGCTTCCCCAAGCCCGAACTCACAGATCATCAGCTTGAGGATCCCAGAGTCGCAACTTCACACAGCTTGAAGCTCCAAACGTCTCAGACAAAGCTGAACTTGAACAGCCTCCCCTTTGACACTTGAATTGAAGCGGCGAGCAAGGGTCCAGAACCCTAAACCCTAAACCCATGCCCCAGCAATGCCCTCAGAAATTCGCACGTCGAGAGCTTGTCGGGCTCTGGTTCAAGTTTGGGTGTCGGCGGCTCTGGCATTACACACTCAAGCGATCTCAAACTGGCCCTAAAGTAAACAGGTAGGTTGTGCATAACTCAGAGATCTAGCGCCGCCTTCAACACTTACTTGCAAGAACAAAGATGGAAACCCTATGTAAAACTTGCTGCTGGGTCGCTGATTTCGGAGAAGCCAGAAACACGAAGCACCTACCATATAGGGTACTAGAGCCCCTAGGGCCCTATATAGCAGGTACCTGGCGGGTTTAGGGTTAGGTCCCGACTTAACAGCGTACATCAAAACCAAGAAACCCAAACGCTCAAGTGTGGCCAAAGGTGTCCTGAAACTGGATGAACTCGCTTGGCCTTTGAAGGAGTCAAAGGCTCCAGGCTTCATCGCACCCATTTGTGGCTTAGTTTAGAACGTCCTGAGGTTCGGTTTCAAGGCGCGGGCCCGTGCAGTATCATAATCTTAATATGGTAGTTATTCTTATCATTATTATCATTCTTGCTGTTAGTTTTTGCTATTATGGTTTGGGATTTAGGGGATTAAGCAATTTATGCATGTGCCCTGCCGCGAGACCACTGGAAAAGACATCGTCAATCCTGATATCGCTGCACATACCACCTGCTGACTTCCCTAATTGCTCATAGAGCTATGGTCTTAGGGTCTAGGGTTTAGGATTTAGGGCGGTATGGGTTGAGGAGAGAAACAGGTCACTCTCGTTTCTACGGTTTCTTAGGTTGTTTTTCAATAAGCGTGCCTCTGAGGCTTCTATTGGAGGTTTAGGGTTTAGGGGTGAAAAGGGTTAAGTTGAATAAGCGCGGATCTTTAAGACAGGTAGCAGACTCCCCAACCCGAGGATACACTCCTAAGGTTGCTCCGAATTACCGATGCATTTCTGGCTCAGGCGTCGGAATTTGCAGTTGATGCTCTTGCTTTTCTGTCCTGAGGATGCTCTGACCTCCACCAGCCTTCTATCGTGATGTGCCGGGGCAATCGAGGCAGAAAGAACGAGGGAGAGAGCGAGAGAAGGGGCATACGGCAAGAGCACAAGCAAAAGCAGCAAAACCCATGCTGACTCAACGCCCCGCTTAGACTTAGCCATGAGTCGCCAGGTCATGGAACGTGGTGAACCTGCTTTATACCACCCAGTCGAGACACTTGCTTGAAAGGCAATATACGTCTTTTTTCGTGGATCTAACTCATGACTCCGATTTTATACCACTGTAGAACCCGGTGTAACCCGCAAAACGTTTCTTTCAAGCCCAGTCACGAAGCCCCTCCACCAAACCCGGTAGAGCAGCATCCTCGGCGTCTTGTGGTTACAGAAGACATCAGGATTTTGGGGCACTGTGTAATAGTGCAGTACATATATACACACACACACACACGAACACATATGTATATACATATATATGTATATAAATATGTGTATGTATCTGTGTATGTATATGTATATGGGTATATATATATATATATGGATATGTATATGATATATATATATATATATATCGTATCCGCCCCAAGATCCACGCTTTTCTGTCGACCATAGTCTCTTTGTGTCTTTCCGCGCCTTTCTGTCATCATATCCTGTTTATGACCGTCTTTCCACTTCAGTACAAACCTATACCAAACAAACATGCGCACGCACACTCACACCTACACACTCACATATACACAAGGTGTCTCAAACTTGGCAGTAACGGGGCAGAAAGACGACCGGATTGAGTTTCAATCTGGCCCGAATCCAAGATCTGAGGTTCTCCTGGAAGTCTTCGGGCAGAATCTTGGATCTTGGATCCGGACCAAGATTGAAACTCAATGACTCAATCCTTCAATCCGGATTTCAATCCTGATACCATGGGGTCATCTCAAAAATCATTCCCGGGATTGAAACTGGATTGAAGGATTGAAGTTTTATCCGGGCCCGGATCCAAGATCCAAGGTCCAAGATTCTCCGAAAAATCTTGGGGCAAAGCAGCAGAGTGTTGCATCTATGATATTGGATCCGGGCGGATCGAAATTGAATACTTCAATCCAGTTTTTATCCGGATCCAAAATTCAGCCCGAAGACTCCTGGCAGAATCTAGGATCTTGGATGAGGGCGCGGATTGAAACTCAATCCTTCGATTCGGTGTCAAGCCTGCATCATTTAATGCCTGCGCTTGCGGATGACTGCAGTTCGAGCCAGTGCTGTTGATGTGCAGTGTGGACCAGCTTCAGAAAGGGTGAACGGCAGCCGTCAAGAAGTAGTACAGTAATGATTTAGTAGTAGTAGTAGTAGTAGTAGTAGCAGTAGTAGTAATAGTAGTAGTAGTAGTAGTAGTAGTAGTAGTAGTGCAGTAATAATATACTAGTTGTTCAGTCATAGTACAGCCGCATAGTCAAGGCATAGTGGTAGTACTGTGGCAGTTCAACAGCAATTCCACAGGAAGGTTAGGAGGTCCCAAAAATATCGAAATTAAATTTCGATCATGCCAAGACAACTAATTAAGACGAGGAACCATGCACGTTGAAGACTGTTCCGTTCATCCTACACTCTCCCCCACAATCGACCAAGGCTGAGGCCGTAGTAGTACAGTTATTGTTATTAGTGTATAGTAACAAGGCAATAGTATAGTAAACGCAGAGTAGTAGTACAGTAGTAGTAGTAGTAGTAGTAGTAGTAGTAGTAGTACTACTACTACTACTACTACTACTACTACTAAGTAATAATAGTACAGTACAGTACCACCAATGTACAGTGCAGTACTGGCACAATAGTGTAAACCAGTAATAAAGTAGTAGACCAGCAGTAGTACGTACAATAGGGAGGGCTTAGGGACCCCAGAGAACCAAGTCCGTTTCCCTCCAAGATAACTACAAAAACTAAAAACCCTTCATGGAAAAGACTTTTTGCTGATTCTCCGGCTTGAAGCTTGCTAACATGAGTCTTTCGACGTCCTGTTGTTATGTTCTTCTCAGTCAAGATTGACCAGTAAGAACCCAAAACAAAACCCCCAGCAAAAAAAAAACAACGCTTTATTCAAGACGACGGAAAAACCACATCCAGAATGTATTTCGAAAAAACCGCACTGCAGATGCTCACTTTGCAAAACCTTGCGCGACATTCATATTCAAAGAGATCAATTATCCCGATAATTATAATTTGCAAACTGCTGGTATGTAGTGCTTGCTGCACGGACCACCGAGAATCGTATTTTCGTACGCAAAAATAAGCCCCTCATGTATCAGTAATTCTAATGCATAAGGATTCAAACTCGCCGGTATAGTAGCAATAGCATTCGCAGATTTTTCGATCAATTTATAGCACAAGTTGGGACATAGTTTCTCCGTGCCGAAAGCGTCCTTTTCAATTTCTCAAGCCACCCCTCTGACACTCCCCAAAAATGATAGCAGCGCCCTGATGTAGTAAGTCCGAATAGCAGCAACAGTCACAAGGCAGATCCCGGAATATTAAACACTGGCCCATGCAAAGACCCAACAGCAGAGTTCAGCACAGCTTTCAGGAAAATCAGAACTGAAGTTGGAAACCGGGAAAGGAATCACATGTAAACTAGTCGCAAAGAAACACCAAAGCACACATGAGCCACACTGTGGGCAGGATTCAACTGCAAAGAACCGAACCGTGGAGGCCAATGGAGATGCAAAAGCAGGATAGCAGGCGAGGCATTCGGGGCAGCCCTTAAATGCCTACAGTATACGCTCAACGACAGTCAAAGGCCCTCTGAGCCCAAGGACAACCCGAAACCCTAAACCTAAACCCTAACAACTCAGCATTTGTAACACCGCGGCAAAAGCTACCCGCCTGAAGCCCTGCAAGCTTGACAAACTTGGGTGGCCCTACTTCAAACTCCACAAGCACGACTTGCATGCCACTCCCCACCTCCTCACGCTATGGCTGTCACCGACGGAAAACTGACTGAAAACACTAAACCGTGCAACCTATCAAACCACGGCCACGTCCTTGAGCGAATCGCATGCTTCCTTTCGTTCGTGTTTGCACACGTGTGCAATCCACAGTCGAGAGCGCACGCGTGCCCTTGAGGCACCACCCTTTCCGTCCTGGGCATGTGGTGCGTTTCCAGGAGTCAAGGTTCAGCAACGCTTGCCGTTTGTTGGACTGAGGCTGCAGTTGCAACTTTGCGGTTTAGGTGGGCTGTGCTGGAGTAGTCGGTCATGCCAGACACGGACATGGCGTCGCAAAGCAATTCCACCCACACCCACACGTTCAGCAAACTGAAGCAGGCCCAGCAGCAAGAAGTGCATGTAGCGTCGTAGACTGGAAGGCACGAAAACGGTTGTCGGTGGTAGGACCCTGGCAGGCCGCACAGTCTGCGCCTGGAGAGCTTGGATAGCCCCAATCACTCTATCGACAACGAGCGCTGCGAGTACATCGTCTTTCCAAAAGAGGGTTGTTCTCTGCGGCCCTAAACATGCAAGAAGGGCAGGTGACGACTTTGCACCTGGCACTTCCAGGCACTTCCAGCTTTTGCCACTACTAACGCGGCTTGGCTTCACACTCTTTCCACATCCGCAGCTACATATCCTGGACTTCGCCATTGCTTGAGCCAGACACCGTAGGGCCACTGTAGGGCGTTAACATGTTTCTAGATTCAAGCCTTTTGGTCGTCCTTGGCTTCAGCTCACAGGTCCTAAACTCGGAAATGTTTTTGGCGGGGTCCCGGGGGCATTTTCCTATAGAGGGTCCAGGATATGTTTGGTGGCGGCCCTACTAAAAAGGGTTCTCTTTCAAGCTCCGCAGATAAACGTGAGTTGAATCAGAGGTGCCGGAGCCTGGAAGGCAACGATGATCCAGCCATGGGCAGATCGATGCCCCGCAGAGTGCCTGGACCTGAAGGTTTTGGGGCCGCTTCCAGACCCAGGAGCTCCGTTGCAGGACTAAGTTTGGAAAGGGCCTCTGCAAACTGGAGTGGCCGACCGAAGGTTTTTGAGGGGTTTGCTGCCGAGATTTGGGTATCTGCGGGTTTTTGAGGGGCTTGATGCCTAGATTTGCCCAAGACCCCACTTGCTTCGAGGCTGGGTTAAAGCTTTTGGGGTGCAGCGGTGCAGGCTGGGGCCTTCTGGGGTGCAATTACGTCTTTGGTTCATCTTCGGGGTCCGAAATCTTTTGTTTAAGATAAAACCCGAACAAACATCCCCTATTCCGATCGTTAAGGCGCCTATTCAGGCACCCAGATCCGAAACATATAGTTTGATGGACCCCAAGACACTTTTTTATATTAGTAAGGCTCCTCCAATAGTGGGTTTGTCTGTCAGCATAAACCCATAACCCTTTGCAACGGCCTTGTCAGATCTCGACCGGACTGATATCCCACAGCAGTGACTTCAGATCATGCTCTGCACAAACCTGGTCTGCATTTGGGGCCTCAGGATCCTGAGGAAACTCAACGATATCAGTTGAATTAGTGAACATCATTACGACCTGGTTCCATGCATGATTGTTTCCGCTGGCTATCCGCGTTGCCGGCATTCCTCTGAAGACGTTCCTCCCTGCATTGCTGCTTGAGTGCCATCCGTTGGGCTCGGTGTCGCTCCCGTAATTGCTCCAAACTAGCCATCTCGCAAGGTATCACTCGAGGAGGCATGCTACCACCCGAATGAACCGTGGAAACACTAGGTTTGGCCTCCCTGTGAACCACATCCGAGTCCTGTGGGGACGTTTCGTGTTTCTCAATCATGTCTGCCAAACAGTTGACCTTTTCCCGCAACTCGTTCTCCAAGCGTGAGATGCTCGCATCCCGTTCCCGAAACAAGGAAGTGGTTGTGTCCGTCAGATCAGCGATGTGTTGCCTTACATCCGTCATAACACCCATGACTACTGTCCTGCATTCTTCTTCGGTGCAGATGTTTGCAACTGTTTGCACTTCACCATGGGAGTACGGTCGGCATCTGACAACAGAATCATACAAACTGATAGCGACCTTCGTGCCCTTGAGCTCGGCTACCTCCGAGGTAGGTTCAGGACACTGACTGTTCCCAACCTGCGCACAACCCAAAGCTTGTTTCAGTTTCAAGGAGACATCGGGCTTGGACATTCGATACGACAGCCTCAACGCATATGCTATGCAGGAGCTCAGCCTCGCTTCCATGGCGGAAAATGTGTGGCAAGCGCACCTAATTGAACTGCCAGATTTTGGCCTCGTAGCAAAATGGCTTGAGCCACAGCCATTTTAACCCATAGCCCTTATAAATCGTAAATTCGAAGCCCGAAGGCGTAACCGCAAATCCTTCACCTCTTCGAGCCTCGAGATTTTGGAGCTTCATGACGGACCACTCGTTGCTC